ATTTGTCCGCGGCAGGGTTGGAAAAGGTGTTGAATATCAGCTCGAGAGGTCTGAACAAGAATGTTTTACCACAGTCTGTCGCGCCGATGATCATCACATTGCGGTATTTTCCTCTACCGAGCGTTAGCAAATCTCGTATAGCAGCTGCGAACAAGATTGGATGCACCTTGTTGTTAACCAAGACTTCTTCAGCACACCTTAGCCACAACCCATCACATTTATCGACACAATTACCAGAAGCTGCCTCGCGTATCAACTGCATCCGGGACGCTTTCCGGCGAGTCAAAACAGCAGTTGCCTCTTGCATTCTCCAGGTTTGTTTGATCAACTCGTCGAGGTTTTTGGAAGAACGCGATAAAACAAAACATGCCAAATCTTTCTTGCCATCCTTTCTCTGGTCATTTGCAATTGCGAGTAAAGATGTTTGATCACGAATATCATGTTTCTGGATGAATTCAGACACGTCTATATTCGAGAGTTTTCTCTTTTTTTGCTTAGGTTGGTCACTTAGATGCTCTTTGTCGCTTTCACTCGTCGTGGCTACTTGTCTGTCCGTGCGCTTTTTACGATACGCACTCAGGCAGTTCTTCGTCTTGGGTGATCCGACCTCGTCTAGGTTGGGATGATTTGGGCTGTGGTAAACATTCGCATCATTCTTGCGAATATATTTGTACGCGGTATAGTACCCATCGTGATCCGAAAAGTTCACTACCACTCCATTCTTCCTTTGCAGCGATCGCTTGCACTCAAGCCATTTCTTCGGACCTGTAAGCTTTAATGCCAGGTGATAATGAAAACCGTTATCTGAATGTTGCTCCAGACAACATGCCCAGTATTCTGGTTTAACTTTACTTCGCTCTGAGGTGAAAGCACTCACAACAGCGAGCGCAAATGATTCACTCGTCGGAAATTTAAGCAAATCCGCTTGGCTGTAAGTTATAAGGTAGCTTCTTCTTGGCTTAACGCAATTTATTTGATCTTTACTAGTAGGTAACCCCCCCCCCATACAATAACGGAAGTAATTAGTATTCAAAGTATAGAAAGGGTAATTAGTATTCAAAGGGTAGAACTGAAGGGTAATTAGTATTCAGAGGCTGATTTTCCCGAAGTTATGCGTGGTCTCCACGCAGGGTGAGAGTGTGACGTTATTAAACCGTAATTAAGTACACAGTAAGGATTTGCGAGAAAAATATTTTATTTGTCAGGTTATACACATTTAGTATGTCAACATTGTAATAGTATGTTTCTTTCCATAGCATTAGGACTGTTTATTTTACTACGTGATATTATGAGAATGTTTCTTTCAATCCTACTAGGACTGTTCGTTCATTTTAAGAGTTCATTTCTTAAATAATCTGAAGGGAACAGGTTTTTTATTTTGCTTGTGATTACATTTGTCTCTCCAGCCATAATCCGTACGCTTCTACTTCAACTTTAGGACAATGTTGATATGCGTCGCTGCCAAATGCTTTCCGCAGGTCTCCAGCCATACTAGATTTTTTATCAGTATTTGCGCTTTCGGGCATCCAAAACACACCAAATTGATGGAGGGAATGTTCAGGTTTGCGAGGAGATCCTTCTCGTATCAAAAATATTGTTTACAAAAGGTACTTTGTGAGCGCTACGGTGTGCGCTACTCACACTCCAAATTGATGGAGGGAATGTTCAGGTTTGCGAGGAGATCCTTCTCGTATCAAACATATTGTTTACAAAAGGTAATTTGTGAGCGCTACGGTGTGCGCTACTCCCACGCGTAGTTATGAGTCAGTTGATGACTTTGTCCAAACGCGTTTATGCATACATTACTGGTAATAGGTTTTAATGACAGGACGAACCTGAACATGTTCGCCTCCAAACAAAGAGTAGCTTGCACATAAATATCGCATATCGAACAGAAATTGCCCGAGAAAACACAGCAATGGAGTGCTTACATGGAGTGCCTGCGACCGCAATCTCTACCAAGAGAGGAAAGTTTTGGGTTTGTAACAAGAACAACCCTAAATGTTGCGAATTCTTTTGCCCTGAACAAGTTCATTCGCTATTTGATACGGCTATGATGATGCGGAGGGCGAATGGCGCGATTCATCCGCTGTGTGACACACACCAAAGACCGACCAAGATGAAAGTCGTGAAGGATTTAAGTTAAAGTAAGTGTCAGCACGGGGTAAACTGCTGTGTGGGGGTTGAACGCCGGAAATAGTTGTATTAAAACAGATATAGATTTGCGTTTTTAACATTTATTCATCTAACGATTAATTACAGCAATAAATTGTAATACATCAAAATCTAATTTCGTATCCCTTTTTGTTCGTTTGCCATGGATTCTTCAACAAACGCTCTATTAGTAAACCTTTTAAATCGCTTTCTTTATTTTACTTTTCATCTTCAAACTTGTATTCGTTCAAAAGTCTTTTGATAAGAAACTTTCTCTTATCAATAGCAGCTTCTATTGCTTCTTCTGGATCAAAATCATCGTTTTCAACAAATGCATCTTTTGTGTTCATTATTTTCTTATGTATCGGGTCTTTCTTTAGTTGTCTCATCCACAAAAGGCGCTCCATATAAATATTTTCTAATTCTTTCTGAAGGTTAGGCATGATGTTCGAGAAAGCTTTCCCTTTGGCAGAGTGCTCATCAAAACCACTGTTTACAAGGCTTTCTTGCATTTCTTCGAAAGCTCTATTACTTCTTTGCATTGCTTCTTCTATAAGCGGCATCCATGGGTCCATTTTTTCTTCAGATTCTGAGTCAGTCGTCGTCGCCGAACTTTCAGACTGCTGACTGGAAGTGGTCGAGACATCCTCTTGGAAATCTCCACCTTCGCTGTCATAGTCTGTTTGAGACATGTTTCTTTCTTGCTCTCGTAGTGGACAATACTCCTGTTCGTGTCTGCGCTGATTGTAACTGCGGCTGAAGTATCTTCCGCAAAATTGGCAGCTCATCCCCTTAGCACTAGCAGTGTGGAAATGCCTTGTTATCGAGCAGCAATGCAGTTTTATGAACAGATGAGCAACTGCTCATGAGCAGTTATGAGCATGTGCTCATAGGCCCGTTTGGGCCCTATATGGCCTTATATGGCACTATTAGGCCCGATGGCCCGATTGCTGACTGGGCGTCCCAACCCGCGAATATGGACAAATATTCCATTAAACATCTACGCGGTACTTTAATTTCGTAGTCCAGTGCATGCACACAAACTAAAATGTTAACCATCCCTTATGTACTTTCTTCGTTTCCCCCGAGGTAGAGGTTCTTCGTTTACGACTAGGCTGCACATGCTTTAATTTTGCAGTGCTTAAGTAAACATTAAAGTTTCTCTCCATCTCTTCTTGGCGCTCTAATAAATTTTCCAGACACTCCTCCATATTGAATTCCTTTGGTTCTTTACTCTGTCGAGGTACACATATTCCTATCTTACTCCACTTTAACCATTTCTTGCGTTCCTCTGTGTCCATACCGTGTACTTGGTCGAGATGATTTGCTAACCTTGCTAAATTTGTACTACCACAGCCAAACACAGGGCAGTTCCTACGCGTGCGACCCATATTTAGATGATTGCTCAACAAATTCCTAATAATAATTGGCTCATTTTTTCGTGGGTCAGGTATTTTATTAGACCCGTTTGGGCCATATATGGCCTTATATGGCACTATTAGGCCCGATGGCCCGATTGCTGCATGACTGGGCGTCCTAACCCGGACAAGTCCGGGCTTATCAACGCAACTCTTACTTACGGAAACAAATTCAAACGATCTAAATAAGAAAACAGTGTAGTGCCCGGACAATATGTTTAGAATATTTGTAAAATTGTTCTACCTAATTATTTTGTTACAAGCGTTAATCCGTGTCTTAATTTATGCTCCAAGCAACGCGTTGTCCATAACACCAATATATATCTAAAAATGTATACATTTTCGCATTCACCATACCCCCTTTTGTTCTTCCAAATTATCCCCAGCCTGGTAGATTGTGCCGTAGTCTAACTTGACAACAATTTTCCCTTGCCCATAATGCTTGTAGGGGACCATTTCCTCTCGTGTTAGTATTGGTAGAGCTTGCGAAGACGTTGGGAATTTTGTCATGTTGGCTTGTTCTTCCTGCATTTCCTGTTTTACTTGCTCCCGTAGATGTTTAATGTAACATTTGTCCATATTCGCGGGTTGGGACGCCCAGTCATGCAGCAATCGGGCCATCGGGCCTAATAGTGCCATATAAGGCCATATATGGCCCAAACGGGTCTAATAAAATACCTGACCCACGAAAAAATGAGCCAATTATTATTAGGAATTTGTTGAGCAATCATCTAAATATGGGTCGCACGCGTAGGAACTGCCTGTGTTTGGCTGTGGTAGTACAAATTTAGCAAGGTTAGCAAATCATCTCGACCAAGTACACGGTATGGACACAGAGGAACGCAAGAAATGGTTAAAGTGGAGTAAGATAGGAATATGTGTACCTCGACAGAGTAAAGAACCAAAGGAATTCAATATGGAGGAGTGTCTGGAAAATTTATTAGAGCGCCAAGAAGAGATGGAGAGAAACTTTAATGTTTACTTAAGCACTGCAAAATTAAAGCATGTGCAGCCTAGTCGTAAACGAAAGAACCTCTACCTCGGGGGAAACGAAGAAAGTACATAAGGGATGGTTAACATTTTAGTTTGTGTGCATGCACTGGACTAAATTAAAGTACCGCGTAGATGTTTAATGGAATATTTGTCCATATTCGCGGGTTGGGACGCCCAGTCAGCAATCGGGCCATCGGGCCTAATAGTGCCATATAAGGCCATATAGGGCCCAAACGGGCCTATGAGCACATGCTCATAACTGCTCATGAGCAGTTGCTCATCTGTTCATAAAACTGCTGCTCGATAACAAGGCATTTCCACACTGCTAGTGCTAAGGGGATGAGCTGCCAATTTTGCGGAAGATACTTCAGCCGCAGTTACAATCAGCGCAGACACGAACAGGAGTATTGTCCACTACGAGAGCAAGAAAGAAACATGTCTCAAACAGACTATGACAGCGAAGGTGGAGATTTCCAAGAGGATGTCTCGACCACTTCCAGTCAGCAGTCTGAAAGTTCGGCGACGACGACTGACTCAGAATCTGAAGAAAAAATGGACCCATGGATGCCGCTTATAGAAGAAGCAATGCAAAGAAGTAATAGAGCTTTAAATGAAAGCCTTGTAAACAGTGGTTTTGATGAGCACTCTGCCAAAGGGAAAGCTTTCTCGAACATCATGCCTAACCTTCAGAAAGAATTAGAAAATATTTATATGGAGCGCCTTTTGTGGATGAGACAACTAAAGAAAGACCCGATACATAAGAAAATAATGAACACAAAAGATGCATTTGTTGAAAACGATGATTTTGATCCAGAAGAAGCAATAGAAGCTGCTATTGATAAGAGAAAGTTTCTTATCAAAAGACTTTTGAACGAATACAAGTTTGAAGATGAAAGTAAAATAAAGAAAGCGATTTAAAAGGTTTACTAATAGAGCGTTTGTTGAAGAATCCATGGCAAACGAACAAAAAGGGATACGAAATTAGATTTTGATGTATTACAATTTATTGCTGTAATTAATCGTTAGATGAATAAATGTTAAAAACGCAAATCTATATCTGTTTTAATACAACTATTTCCGGCGTTCAACCCCCACACAGCAGTTTACCCCGTGCTGACACTTACTTTAACTTAAATCCTTCACGACTTTCATCTTGGTCGGTCTTTGGTGTGTGTCACACAGCGGATGAATCGCGCCATTCGCCCTCCGCATCATCATAGCCGTATCAAATAGCGAATGAACTTGTTCAGGGCAAAAGAATTCGCAACATTTAGGGTTGTTCTTGTTACAAACCCAAAACTTCCTCTCTTGGTAGAGATTGCGGTCGCAGGCACTCCATGTAAGCACTCCATTGCTGTGTTTTCTCGGGCAATTTCTGTTCGATATGCGATATTTATGTGCAAGCTACTCTTTGTTTGGAGGCGAACATGTTCAGGTTCGTCCTGTCATTAAAACCTATTACCAGTAATGTATGCATAAACGCGTTTGGACAAAGTCATCAACTGACTCATAACTACGCGTGGGAGTAGCGCACACCGTAGCGCTCACAAATTACCTTTTGTAAACAATATGTTTGATACGAGAAGGATCTCCTCGCAAACCTGAACATTCCCTCCATCAATTTGGAGTGTGAGTAGCGCACACCGTAGCGCTCACAAAGTACCTTTTGTAAACAATATTTTTGATACGAGAAGGATCTCCTCGCAAACCTGAACATTCCCTCCATCAATTTGGTGTGTTTTGGATGCCCGAAAGCGCAAATACTGATAAAAAATCTAGTATGGCTGGAGACCTGCGGAAAGCATTTGGCAGCGACGCATATCAACATTGTCCTAAAGTTGAAGTAGAAGCGTACGGATTATGGCTGGAGAGACAAATGTAATCACAAGCAAAATAAAAAACCTGTTCCCTTCAGATTATTTAAGAAATGAACTCTTAAAATGAACGAACAGTCCTAGTAGGATTGAAAGAAACATTCTCATAATATCATGTAATAAAATAAACAGTCCTAATGCTATGGAAAGAAACATACTATTACAATGTTGACATACTAAATGTGTATAACCTGACAAATAAAATATTTTTCTCGCAAATCCTTACTGTGTACTTAATTACGGTTTAATAACGTCACACTCTCACCCTGCGTGGAGACCACGCATAACTTCGGGAAAATCAGCCTCTGAATACTAATTACCCTTCAGTTCTACCCTTTGAATACTAATTACCCTTTCTATACTTTGAATACTAATTACTTCCGTTATTGTATGGGGGGGGGTTACCTACTTTTACTCTCAGCCATCATGTGCAATGGTCTTTTATAACGGTAAGAAATTTAAAATTTCCTCGGAATCCCTCCCTCCAATTAATGTATTGTTCTGTTAAATATTAACTCCTAAACTTGTCGCAAGTGCATATTTACGTACAAGTCGCGTTATTGTAAACAAGCAAAAGGAAAGGCAGAATACCAAATCGCTAACTACATAAACGCTTTTACTGTAGAAACTCTTCCTGTGAAGAAACGTCCGCACCCGAATACGATGTAAGTTTTTTTAGTAAATTATTCGATATATACTGTATATTGCCTGAAATTTACCATATAACAACCGTAAGGCTTATATTCATGAACAGCGCTCATGCTACTATACTAAATATTTGGGTTTATTCACTCAAACAATAATAAAGAGGGCCAACATCCCTGCTCAATTTTTTTACGAAATTTAGACAATCATGGAAATTAATTCGTAGACTTCTCTACTACATAATAAAATACCCCCCTTCCCCCTTGAACAATGTTGGTAGGTGCGTGATATCACATTGGGATGTCTTTTCAATCAACATTGTGTGTTAGGGGGGAGGGGGGAACAGCTATTGACTGTTAAATCAACATCTTTAACAATTACTGTGGTCATGTAGCGTGTCCAACGCAAAGTCTACCTAAATTATTTCCATGATTGGACCTTTATGTTTACTTTACAATTTATTCGTATCTCTGAATTACTCATTTTACCTGTGCATTTAGTCCGGTTGCAAAACGTCTTCAACCTTATGCCTAATTGTAATTAATTGCTGCCGAGCCTCAGCAAGGCAGCACACTATCCTTGACGTTACATGACGTTTTCACTTTCTCGTGCCCAGTCCCCGGGCGGGTTATGTATTGTCGACATAAATTTCGATCTGCTTTCTGCTTTGGGAGATGTCTGTCCATTTCAAGGGAGCTCATTAAGAATTCAAGTTTGTAAAATGAGGGGGGCGTTCAGACTTTCTATTGCAGCCTGGGAAGCAGTCTTTAACAACCATATCGCTAAGTATTCAACAGCAATACAAAGGCATATTCAACAGACATACGAAGGCAGATTAAACAACCGTGTGAAGGCATATAAATAAATTCATTTGTTTGGTGATGTTACGCAAAATATTCAGCAGCCGTATCCCTAAGTATTCAAGTAATTCAAAAGCCATTAACCATACGAAGGCATATTCAACAGCCTTAAGGCCAAATATTCAAGACTGCGTAACTAACTTCAAAATTCTGCGATTCAACTTGTCAAACCTTTGAGAAGAAATAGGTAAAATTAAAATAGTTAAGCCATGCTTCGCCGCAGTTCCCGTTGTTGCTTTCCAGTGCCTTGAGGCTAGACACTATTTAGGCTATAAAAATATGTCCTTACCTAACCTTTACTATGTCTATGGTGATTAGCTTGCCGTACCTATTCTTGCCTGATCCTTCTGCAAGGTCAAGAAGAAGTTCCAGCAAATAGCTCAAAGCTTTCGGCTTACGCCATCCAGCGTACCTCAGATTCGCTTGATCACAATCACATGAATCAAATTTTCCAACAACGTTATTTTCTGGCTCGCCTTTGATTGAACTTTGGATTAAATGTAGGATTTATTCCTACGTATGTTTAGTTCATTCTGGTCGCCAAAATAACATCTGATGGACAGATTGAACTTAGGATTGACACAGATTGACCAGTGTTGCCAGATCACCGGCAATGGACCTTTTGCATTATAGACATTTTTTTTATCTATGCAAGATAATCCAATAAAATCACCACAGCTGAAAAGAGCGTACTGAAATTAGTAGAAATGCAAAGTTTGGTTGCGAAATGTCATGAGATGCCGAAAATATCGCTTTGCAAAGTTTGCAAATTTGTATACTTTAGTTTAACGCACGGAAATTGCTACCACATTCGGGCCAAAAATGGTAGCAATTTCCGTGCGTTAGACTAAAGTATACAAATTTGCAAACTTTGCAAGACTATATTTCCCGTATTTTACGACATTTCGCAACCAAACTTTGCATTTTTACTAATTTTGGTACGCTCTTTTCAGCTATGGTGATTTTATTGGATTATCTCGCGAAGATCAAAAAGTTGCCTATAATGCAAAAGGTCCATTACCTAGGGACTAGCTAGGTTAAACGTCGCATTTTGGTCGCGTCGAATGCAATTTAAACAATAGATAATGAGATGATAGTGAAGCTTAATGAGATTTATCATCTCATTATCGACCAAAATGCGACGTATAACCTAGGACTAAGACAGTGGCATGGCTTTATGAAATCAGACACACGACGAACGTCTATCAAATTTTTAAAATAACAAGACACCTGTTCTGGCGTTAACTCCGGAGCTTCTGAAAATAAACAATACAGTTCATATTCATTTAGATACCTTGCGAACCTAAATGTTGTTCGATCGCAAAATTCAGAAGCACATCGTACTTAAAAAGTATAGAAGTTCAATTGTTCGAAAATGCAAATAAACCGCATGATACATTCGCTTTGTCTTGCACTTTGCCTTTGCATGAATTCGTGTTTATAATAATTTATAGTTATGTTAAATTTTCAAATTGTTGTGTAACATGTATGGTTTTGCTCCTAATAATATAACAAAGCAGTTGATGTACACCCCTCGAAGCTTCGTCTCGGGAAACATTCAGACTCTTGGGAAAACAAAACTCACTATTTCCCTCGGAAGCATACATTAAGTGTATATTATTTTCAGAATTTTCTAAATTTTTGCACACGTGATGCGTGATCCAGTTTAGTTTTTTAGATCAGTGTTTGGAATGCAGCGGATGATACAGTTGAAAGCCTATTTTCACAGCAGGAGGTGAATAACTTTCAAAACGTTTTTAATGATGCCTAACATGTTTGCTTCGTGCTGGTTATATAAATCTCATTACAAACATCATAATCAAGAAGAAGTGATTTTTCTTTGACATTTAAGAAGCATTTTACCTTTGGTAAGTATTATGCGTTTGTTTGAATTTTGGTGACGTAAATATATCACTAAACGATGATATGATCATAGCTAAAAAAATACCGAAGTCAGATTCAGAATCCTAAGTATGATTCGCCTGGGCAAATGCAGTAGGAATTTTCGCTTTATTGGTCAATATTTTTGACGAATAAAACACAATTCAATGTTGTACAATAAAGTTAGCCAAAAATAGTGTTAGTCGGGGCATTTTCAGTTATGTACGTACGCCGTAAGACACACACATAATCATACGATTATGCATACGTGTGTATACTAATATCACCGCTCTGTTTTTGAAATAGGATTAGGAAAGGCCTTAGAAATACTTAACTGAATTTCACACGATAGAACTTTGCCCTACAAATGTAAACAAGAAAGAAACTAAAGCTCTAGGATGTTTTTCGTTAGAATATTTTCTTCAATAACTAGCTTTCTCAAGAGAGCTACGTACTCTCAGCACTCAGCCGTATGATGATGCCATGTTTTGTGCCTAGCCATGCATATGAAGCTATTATTAAAATATTTGCTAAATAACAGTTCGTATCTCTACATACTTTAATTAATCATGGGAATATACATATACTTATATATATATAGGATCATAATATCAATCGTATTTTAGCCTTAAACAGGTTGAGTGAAATGATTTTCTCCTTGGGGGTTTTCAAAAAAGAAAGGGCCAAATGTTTCCTTTTACAAACTTGCGCTTCTGTGTTGCAATTTAAAAACTTTTCGCGAGTTATTTCGAGCCAGTGATGGTGGAAGTTCGTTATACTTGTAGTGTTGAATAAATGTCTTTTGAACGAAGTGAACTTATTAGTTGAAATGTTGAGAAGTGCATGCTCTTGTATAGTTTTATTTGACGAGATTATTTGTTTTATTTAAGTTATTTGTTTTGATCCTCACCGCCGCTATAATATTACAAAACATATATTAACATTGAACATCGTAAACATCCTTGAAACTTAAAGTTTCGACTCTATTATCTATAAGAGATGGAATTGGTAGCTGGCAACCATCCAAAGACCTCTTCCAAATATAGCTCCAACCAGCATGTGGGAGGTGTTTGAGAGGCGTACCATTGGTAACTATTGCCCAAAACCAGACCAACCCCTCACAATCCAGCCGCCACAAGAGCGAGAGTGATGACATGCACAAACATGACGGAAACAACAAATGAAATTGGATTCAATGATAAAGCACATAATTGTATACAAAAGATCAAATGCAAAAATCACCAGTCACTTGCTAATTCGATTATGAAAACTCTAGATCTACCTGACCTAGTTTTTTGTATCTCAGCGATAGTTACCCGACTGGATGAGAAATCTCTGACAACGAAAGCCAGGCAAGTTAATGCCCTCCGTGTGTTCAAAAAAATTGCTACTTCATTGGAAATGAAAATATTACTGAAAATGAAATTAAGTCAAGAAAGATTCACCTCAATAAAAGAAGAACAATTATGCTAGCCAGAAACCTCTCAACTTCTCAATGACCTATCTAATATTAGTCATTGTAATGAAAACAAAATACCACACCACCGTCGTATGGTTTTGGCTTCATTAACATAAATAGTTTAACAGCCTTGGTATAAAGAGGTTTATCAGCGATGAGTTAAAATTAGACGGAACTTGGGAGCAAACCGGAATTGATAAGAAAACTTTCAAGACGTATAGCATTTCGATTTCGTGGTGAAAGATCAAAAATCTGCTGCATTTTGAAGGTTCTGAAGCAGGTACAATTATCCAACAACTGCTTGTCAGTATTCCCACACAATAACTCTGTATTGATGAATGGAGATTTTGAAATTGGCAGTTCGAGTATTATTAAGAAAATCAGAGTATTAATAACGAAGCTGTTTTAGCACTATCAAATTCAATCAACCTTATTGCTGATACTATAAAACAATTTCGAGAAGACTTTTTTAAAAGTGGAGAAAGAAATCGCTCCATAGTTATACAAAACTCGGCTGCGGTACAAACGATAGTAGCTAATAGTGAAAATTGTGATGAAGCAAATGACTTTGACGCCCTCGAAGTCAGTGTTATCGAAATTCCTAATTGAAATAACCAAAGCAATATTGACTTTATGATGAATTTCGATAATGCTGCAATTAGCAATGCTCCTGACTCTAAAGTTGTAGGCGAGAATGAATCACTAAATCGAAATAATAATGTAAATCTCCTACCAATCATCGAGGAAATAAACCATCCAACTGATGATCAAGTAAACGTTGATTAACTATAAGCTGGGGATAAGATTGATAGCCAACTGCAAGATCACCGCAATAAAAAAACTACATATCTATTTTACAATTGTGAAAGTACGACGTCTAGTCATACACCTAGAGCCCCAAATACGACGTTATGGAAAACCAATTAAAGACCCAGAATCAACCCAGACCGAATAGCCATTCTAAGCAACTTCGTAAACCACCTTACAGATCGCACCAAAGCCTGAACCGAAAATTGAAACCTAATCACGGACATAACCAAGCTAGCAGCCTTAATCCATTTTCAAAACCCCCTTTCAGACGAAACGAAGTGCACCTAAGACACCATCAAAAAATTTTTCGGAAGAAAGCATTGTCAGAACGGAAATGAACTTGGATAAAACATCTAAACTTTGTTTCAACCCAAATCGGACGCTCAACTCCCCATGGTCAAAATAATAACATTAGTGTAGCTTGCAAAAGCCCTCTAACCTACCCTACCCAGGAAACGATACCTGTTGGAATATCTCAACCGTTAAGACAGCGCAGTTATCGAAATTTTAATAGCCATTACAGTACCTTACCAACGTATAGTATTCCTGTGCGCATTACAAATCGTCGCCATCATTCTTGTTCCCCAACACGTGTTCTGCAACAACCTAGTCGTAATTTTTGACATCATCGAAACCAACGTAGACTTCGGAAAATAGATACAACCAGCCACGTCCCTAATTCCTCTCTGCCCTCCCTCTTCGTATCGAACTTGAGGTCTTTGAATGACAAAATTGATGAACTGTCTGGGACAGTTTCCAATTTTCCTACAGATAATAAAGTTATCAAGGAAACTTGGCTTTCCTCTAATGTTAGCGATTGAGTTATCAATCTTAATGGCTACACGACATTCAGGCGTGACCGTCTCGATGGTAGAAGAGGTGGTGACGCTTGTGGCTACATTAACAACAGCCTTCCGGTAATCCACCTCAAGGCCTTGTCAAGTTCAAATTGGTCACCCTTATATGGCTTAGATACTTGTAGTGACAAGTTCCGCTAACTATACCTCAATCCTCAATAACATTGTTAATCAGTATCTTCCACTGAAACTCATAAAATCCGACAACAGCGACAAGCCTTAGGTCACACCTGAGATCAAAAAGCTAATATCCAAGCGCCAAGCAGCTTGGAACAATGGAAACAATACCTTGTTTCGCTATTACAGAAACAAGGTAAACACAGTTTGTAAGAGTGCTTGTTCAAGATTTTACAAAAGCAATGTTGATGACTGCTTCGAATCCAACCCGCATAAGTGGTGGTCAAAAAATAAAAAAATTAGCTGGTCTTGGAAAAACGAAAAACGTCTCCACAATCTTATTCAACGGCCAAACTTACTGCCCTTGCAAATTTATTTAACGACAAGTTCGTCTCTGTTGGAAACTCACTTCCTTCGTTTTCATGGTCACCTATTACTGTCGACAACGTCCCTTCGGATGTTTACATCTCTGTTGAAGAAGTTGAAAGAGCAGTAATATCATTAAAACCACACTCACCTGCTGGCCCTGATGATATTCCTTCTTGGTTCCTGCGTGAGAATTATTCCTCCCTATCCAGGCCATTGGCATCCATCTTCAATGCTTCCATTCGCGAGGAACGTATCCCACTGTTGTGAAAATCCGCCAACGTGACCCCAGTGCCTAAATCGCCACCCGCTTACGACATTGATTCCGACTTTAAACCGATCTCACTCACACCCTTTGTAAGTAAAGTCCTGGAGTCATTCCCTTATAACTGGCTCAGTTTACGGTCAGTTAGTGGTCTAATTGATGAGCTTCAATTTGGTCGGCTCAAAGGATCCAACTCCACGATAGCGTTAGTATATATGCTTCACAAGTGGCACGAAGCCATGGATACACCTCCATTAATAGGCCTCCAGCTGGAATTGTTAGATCCATTTTTGGTGTGTTTTCTTCTCTCTTTAAGGAAGTTGTCGATCCAGTTAATATGGACGGGATGAATGTCCATATTTCGTAACTTTTGTAAAAGGATGTTGAAATCAATACGATCGAATGCTTTTGAAAAGTCTAATGTGCAAATACGAAGGCAAGTGCCAGGTGTCCCACAGGGAACCAAGCTTGGCCGTTTGCTCTTCTTAATTATGGTGAACGATCTGAAAGTCTCATCATACTGTCAAATTCGTTGACGAGGGACAAACAACCTGCCTCCACGTTACCTTCACGAATTAAAGAATGTTGCGGATAGGTGACTAAGAATAATATGAAATTAAATCCACTAAAACCAAGGAAGTTCGCATATGCTTTTCATCAAACGATCCTCCAACCGTCACTCCGATTACTATTGATGGTTGCCATATCTCCATTGTTCCACAGGACTGGTCAAATTACTCGAAGTGAGCTTCTCATGTCAACTACATCTATAAGAAGACTGCAAAACGTTTGTATACCCTGCGTTTATTAAAAAGATCTAAAATTCCGTGGAACAAGTTGGTGCAAGTATTTAACTCGTGCATTAGACCGATATTGGAGTATTCGTGCGAAGTATGGCATTATAGTTTGCCCCAATGCCAAAACGACTAAACTGAAAATATCCATCGTCGAGCGTTCCGAATAATCTTCCCAGATTGCCCCTATGATAAAACAATGGCTCCCATACTATACAATTGACAAAAATAGTCCCGCTTAAAATAAAATGATTAATAAAGCATCTGATTACAGAGATTGATATCAAGTTTTGCTCTCACAAGCTATGTGGAAAGATGCAAAGCATCGTTATTAAACACATGCATGAAAAATATGTTTTTTCATTTTGACCAGTAAATGCGGAAATAAGCTCGAAAATTATACTAATGTTTCTAGTATAAATTTCGAGGTATTAAGTTTCCTGCATTCTAATTGGTCAAAATTCACTCTGTCTGAAGCTATAGTCACTGGTCAGTTACCATAGCTTTTTGATGCTTTTTCTTAAATAAGAAAATTGAAGTAATAATAATTTTTATGAGATTGGGTTGATTCTTATTTGTAAACACCTCGAAATTTATACTAAATCAATTAATCGCCTCAGGCTCCGTGATTACAAGGTTATAAAGGCTTGTATGATCACCTCGCCTCGACTAAATATTAAATATTCTTGAAGATTAAATTTCTTCATATCGATTATACTAATATTTATTCTAAGGACATAAATGACCATTATAGTTTAGTCAAAACGTGGCAAGTGAATTTCCAACATGTTTGCATTTCACCTTTTCTATCTTAAATATACAATCATTTCCTTAATTTCTGTAATTTACATTACATTAATTCATATTGCGCCATTTTTTCTCACACAAATTTCTATTGTTTATGTTTTATAGAGTTGAAGAGATCAGAATGAATCAAGAGAGCAAAAAAAGAAAATATGACCCAGGAAAGAAAACTGGTCTTTGGGATGTGTTCAAAAGTTCGTCGAGTGTCGACTTAAATGTTGTACGGAAGTTGGTAGAATATGGAGCTGATGTAAACTGTACTGATAAATCAGGTGAAACTGTGCTCTTTGTTGCTGTAAGATCTAGTCTTGTGGAAGTCACAAAATATTTAATTGATCACGGCGCTGATGTTAATTGGAAAAGTGATTTTGGCTCAATACCTCTCAGCGATGCTGTACAATCCAATTCATTGGACATTGTCAAATATTTAGTGGAACATGGTGCTGATGTCAATTGGAAAGATAAAAATGACCGGTCACTTCTCTACTATGCTGTACAATATCGCTCACCAGACATTGTCAAATATTTAGTGGAACATGGTGCTGATGTCAATTGGAAAGAAAAAAATGACCGGTCACTTCTCTACTATGCTGTACAATATCGCTCACCAGACATTGTCAAATATTTAGTGGAACATGGTGCTGATGTTAATTGGAAAGAAAAAAATGACCATTCACTTCTCTACTATGCTGTACAATATCGCTCACAAGACATTGTCAAATATTTAGTGGAACATGGTGCTGATGTCAATTGGAAAAAAAAAAATACCCATTCACTTCTCTACTATGCTGTACAAAATCGCTCACCAGACATTGTCAAATCTTTAGTGGAACATGGTGCTGATGTCAATTGGAAAGATCAAAATGACCATTCACTTCTCTACTATGCTGTACAATATCGCTCATTAGACATTGTCAAATCTTTAGTGGAACATGGTGTTGATGTCAATTGGAAAGATCAAAATGACCATTCACTTCTCTACTATGCTGTACAACATCGCTCATTAGACATTGTCAAATCTTTAGTGGAACGTGGTGCTGATGTTAATTGGAAAGATGAAAATGACCGGTCACTTCTCTCCTATTCTGTGCAATATCGCTCATTAGCCATTATCGAATATTTAGTGGAACGTGGTGCTGCTAAGGACCTTACCGAAACCGCAAAATTTAACTGTTTTCACGCTATTCGAAAACTTAAAGATGATGGTAAATTCTTTTTTTCTTGTTAAGCTATTTATAGAAAGAGATAAAGAGATGATACGATATGCGATGATTTACCCTGATCAACGCTTTTTAAAAAAATTCTAAATAGTATAATTAACTCCAATATTAATCATCGCAAATGGTCAATCGTGATTTTTCTTGTGGCGAGCAAATCAATCATTTGTCGATGCCGAAGGCAAATAGAAATAATTATATTTCAATTGCGAGACATTGTTATCTATCTAGTATTCATTTACAAAACCGAGAGAAATGTTATGTTACTGTATGTTGAGCTTCTCTAACATTTCACATGCATTTTACTCCGCTAGTCCACTACAGGTTCGGGTGTTGCCGTCCTTTTATAGAAACGGTTGAAGGAAACTTGTGCACGTCATCAACCAGAGTGGGCTGATCCTTATCCAACCAATCAGCGTTGTAAGTTAGAAATGTGGGCTGGCATTAGAAGCTCGTTCCAGCTCTCATATCTTGTTTGTTTTAGGCGTTGTCGCACTAGTCGAGTTGGTCTTCTGCTCAATCGATCAATACTTAAAAATGTTCAGAACTTAAAATATTTATCATCAATAACTAGTAAAATTTCCAAATAATACCTTATTTTATAACGTAACTATTTATTCTTCTATTTTAATCGAATTAGGCTTTCTCCGACATACTGCTTAAAATGCTCGACCGTGCATTATAAAAAACACACTTGATTGACATAAGAGCTTTGCAGCTGCCTAAAGCATGCATATTTTTAAATTTGACAGTTAAACTTGGCAACGACATACGACTGTTGATCCAGATGCGCACGTTCTGACAGGATGATTGATATTTTCACCTTACTACTTTTCGATCCCACGAAATGTCATGCACAATAGCGTAGCCAGAGCGATAATTGGGGGGGGGGGCATATTCATATATTCGTGCTACGCAGGTTTAATTTCTTTTCAAATCAATTGTCTTTACAGTCTGTTAACATGAATATATGAATATGTGCCCCCCAAATTATCGATGCTGGCTACGCCACAGGTCATGCTTAAAAGGAAACGTGATTAAATTAATGCGAATGGGCAAGAAATTATATTTACTCAGGCGTCTTGTGGCAAAACTTAATCACTAATCCCTGTCATGCAACTGATATTCCTATTTTTTACAGCTATTTTTATATGCATATATATCTAAACACAATAAAGCCGTGCGTAACAGAAAGAACTGCCCTTAAACCTATCTAAGCTCACTCTAAAATCTTGGAAAAATCAAACGTTTCATATTTATCTTTTATACGTAGGAATTCGTATTTTTTGAATTTGAAATCAAGTTTCGTTTTTTAGTAAAATCTCAGCAGCTGCAACCTCTTGGACAACGTCCAGGGTTACTGAAAAAAAAGACAACAAACAGAAGAGGTAATTACTGTCATCTTAATTTCATGAATATTAACTTTTAGAACTTACTTTATTTCAGGGGCCGGTTGTATCAAGCCCGTTTAGCAAATAAATGACTAGGTAATGAGAATAAGGCGGGAAGCTGAGAACAACATAGACACGCATGTGAATAACGTAAGACGATATTTAGTATTAAAGATACAACTTTACATTGGCGACGAGGATAAAATAACTTACTCTGATGGCTACTTTTTGAACTTTTTTTATCCGGTCTCGGACGCTTTCGGATCAATATAAGCCAGACGGCGCACGCGCGGATTATCTTTCGCTCCGATCCGATCTGTTGCTCGTTTTTTCGGAGTGGAAATTAGCCTTAACTCTGACGAAGCAAAAGACTACAAGAATACTTTGAAACTTAATTCTCAGTGACCATTTTTCGCCGAAGAAAAATACGACATTTGAAATACACAAATCTCGTCAAGCTCAACAACTCGATGACGAAAGCGTTGATCAGTTCTATACTCGTCTCCGACTATTAGCATCTATACCTGTGAATTTAACGACCGATTGACAGTGAAATTCGGGCTTAGAACATTCAACGATGTCAATCGAAAAAACTTCGAGAGGCTGCATTACGAGATGACACAATAACACTCGCGAAACTTCTTCAACACGCGCGTGCTCTTGAAAATTCAATGAAACAAGCTGTAGACATGGAAAAAACCCTGGCAAATGCAACATCAGAATTAGCTGCTCTTAGTATGGTGGCCCATCGTTATCATTCCCATTTTTGGGTTTATTTGATTGTTTATTCATTATGATTTTAATGAGAATATAAAAAAAGTTTAAATATTATTTCATAAATAAATTTTGTTTATATTGAAAGTGTATTTAGACCTAATATCGCAAAAATTATTTTATTTCAACTGTGTTTTTAGTTCAAAAGTTTAAAAAAAAAAAAAATGATGTTGTTGCTCAGCTAAACTGTCCAAAAAAATGCGAATAATTTTTTTTTTTTACCTCTGAACGGCCCAACGTTATCATTGTATAAGTCCAGTTTATATACTTAGTCCAGTGGCTGTACATTTCCATTTCCCGCGAATGCTGTCGTGACGGGCCGACGGCCATTGTAAATACGCGGAAGAAAACTTCACCATTCTATATCGTGCATATGACATCATGATGAAAAGAAGAAAAGTAAAGGAGAGCTGGGAAGACTTTGAAAAACGAGTCGGATTAAAACGAAGCGGGCAAGATCGAGAATTGTCATCTAAGAAGAGGGATCTTGGCAAGGTTCCGAATGATATTTTGGTTCAGAAGATGTCAACTAATCCTAGTGGAAGATTGAAAAAGTTTGAACCATTGGATACGAGAGATTTTGTACCATTCGGAGAAGAATACGACGAATTGTCCGTTGAGAATATCAAAGAAGCATTTGAACAGTTTTATAACGCGCCATCAGGATCATGTGATATTCTAGCCTCGGACAGGGGGCCGTCATGTATTAAAATGGAGCAGATAAAGGGGAAAAAAGTATATTTTATCCGATTTCTTCCACCCAGCGAGTGCAAATCGACCAAGAAAAAACCTGAAGTCAGCCGAGCAAGTTTAACGTCATCAGTCCCAATTTCGCCTTCAAAGATTGAAAAAGTCGATGGTACCAATACTGCAGCCCCTAAAACTAAATCCTAAGTTAGTGTCAATAGGCGATCTCCTTCGTGCTGGCAAGCTTGTTCGACCACCACAAATGACATCCCTGGGTTTAGAGATGTTTGATGTAGAAAACTGCAAATGGGTTAAATCTTCAGTTTGTCGGTTGAAGTAGAAAAAACCAAGTTCAGAGATGCATTTCGAGCCAAGTGTGCTGACAAATCATCTAGCCTTTCAGGAGAGTGGGTGATAAAGAAGTATAGGAATGAAGCTATAAATACCATACAACAACAGTTTCAAATTACAGTAGAAGACCATTCAAGAAAGCAGTTACAAATGCATGGGTTGAAGCTATATGACCCAGAAATTGTCACTACAGATTTAATGGGGGAAGGTGAAGTATACTTTGGTGCAGGGAACCTTTCAACTATAGGTATTACAAACTTTGCTGAGAACCATAAGTGTAACAAGTTTTGCAAGATGATGGCACTTAAAGAGCTTGCATGATTTGAAACATTCTAAATGTTCAAAATTTAGCAAATCCTGTATATTGATAATTGATAACTTTATTGCTATTAACTTTTGTTATAGTTTGTTTTATTGATTATAACAATTACTGTTTAACTTAAGATAACTTTTGTAACATTTGTAACAATATATTTGTTTAAAATGGATATGAAGTTCAAACCATTCTAAGCATTTAACATGGAATGTTCTGCTTTACAAATCTGTCTGCCTCAATTGCATTTTTTGCTTCAATCTTTTCAGGATTAGGTATTAATTCTGCACATTGTTGCCTGGCATGCTCTTCAATGTATGTGTAAGAGCATTGAGCATTCATCACTCCTGAAACCTCAGCTACTTCACGAATGTCCTCTTCGGACAAATGAATCCCTTCATTTGTAGCTCCATAATTCTCAGGAAAAGAAAATATGTGGTTAGGGATACCAATAGGAATTTCCAAGTTACCAGAATACCAATTTAGGTTTTTCTTGGGCACGTATTCGATGAGAGTTCCAGTAATGAATGAACTTATTACACTCCCTTTGAACTATGGGTACATAAACATATGCAATCAATTGTCGATCATGATTAAAGTTTGGATCATACTCGTGTTTCTGTAACAACTCCCTTAATTGTGCTTTGAAGTACCTTTCAAGACGTTCATGCAAATCACGCCACCACCGCTCTATTTTATTGCTAGTTGAAGGGCCATAAATAATTGAGTCAGTGGCATCATCCATAATTTCAAATTTGTTTACCAGGTATGCGTGAATGGTGGCCATTTTTCCAGTTTCTGTTCCACGATCAATTCTTAGATACCTTGATAAAAGCTTAGTTTGAAGAAGATGCTCAATATACATTTTTCCCACACGGTAAAAGGTTGGAGTTAGAGACACAAACAAATAGGAATAAAATCTTTCGAGAAAACGTGTCAATGCAGCCATAAATACCAAGAGGAAATGTCCAGTTCTGGTAGCCATAAAGTTTATCATGACCATCTAGTGCGACTACCCATAAGGGCCCTTCAGAAGTAAAATGCCCCTTTGTTTTTTTCCTCTTTTTTTGAAGATTCCCAGCTTCAAGGCCATTTGGATCCAAAAAACGTTGTAAGTAAGATGTCTAGGAACCTTCACATCAAGTTCTGTCCTTAACTTCTGATTCATGGCCCTATAGCCCAAAAGTCTACCTGGCCCATCCAACTCTTTATGCACCGCATTTTTCACAACCTCGATAGGAGTCTCGTAATTAATGTATCGAATATTAAAAAGACGTAAACGTCGATCTAGAGTGGAAAGGCTCCAAGCATATTGTGGATAATCACGTCGCATGAAATCCAGTACTTCACGCCTGCGTAAATTTTGAGCAACATTTATTGCGTGAGTTTACAAACATAATTGCTTATATCACGTTCGAGGTCGGCGTTGTCTTCCCAGTTATCTGCCATAGAATGAACACTTTCTTCGTTGATTCACGGGAAATGGAAATGTACA